GGTTTGTGTAATATTTCCCCTTTAAATATAAGCTCTTCAAGGGCAATAATTATTTATTCTCTAGTTTCATTTCTCCAGTGCCTGACTTCAGTCACTGAAGTTGCCCGATATTGATTTAATAAATGATTAACTGAATTGTTTACCCTATCTCTTAGGATTCAAATGAAATCACAAATCAGACCTCACACATTATAGTTAAACATTTGATAGCATTATCTTTTCTTGTCGACAGAAATCCCCTGCCAATCATAAAAACCCATTAGCCCTGCGTTGCTGATCGGGTAGCAGATACCTGCCTAGACACAGTTATCCGGATTGAATATCTGCCCCATGTGTGGTTTCACTACACTGTTTCCCCATGTCTTCGTGTTGTAGCAAGGTATTATTTGTGTGACAGTCCATTTTAGTTCTTTCAGCCTTAGGGCTTGGGGACACTGAGAAAAAGTACACCTCTTTCAGTCATTTGGGGATTTCTCACAAACCATAAAATCTAAGAACTGAAAAAGGCTATTCTGATTCAGAAACAAAAGCATTGTCTTCTAGCCCCATTACAGGCCTGCTCTTAATCCATCTAACTCAATGGCGAGTCTGTCCTTTTCTCAAAGAAAACTTAAGGAGAATATATCACAGTTTTCATTCCATGCCTATTTTCTTATCTCAAAGATACTCAAGTGGCAAAATTCTTCCTTACAACTCAAACAGATTAGGTCTGCAAAAATTTAAGCTAATTTCCTCCTTATTAATCTTCAGCCAAATGAAATATAGTCTTGTCATGAATCGTGGTAGTACAATTAATGATAAGAACAAATACATTTCCAGAATCATGTTATTTTAAATAGAACTTCCTTGGACACTGAAAACATTTTTTTAAACTTAAAGACAAAATCATTATGGTCCTAGCAGTGATCATGTCAGTTAACCACTTCTCACCAATTCATTTCAAAATTGGTTCTTAAATATTTCAGGTTTTGAAGACACTATACACATTGTTTATCCTATTTTGGAATTATAGTCTTTCTTATAGGATCTGCATATAAGTGGACATGTATATATATCTTCCCTTAAAATTATAGTAAAAATGCAACCAGTTCCAGTAATGATAGAAATCGAATTCATCCTCTTAATATTAATTGCCTCTCAGTCTGCCTGAGAAAAATGGAGATTGATGGATCTAAGGGACTATTTTAAAGTTTAAAACCGTGAGAAAATGTTGTGAAGACCCAACAGAGCAGATCGGTTGCAATTTGGAGTGGAAAGGGCCACTTGGCACAAAGTGCCCTGAGTACCTTGGAGGAAGAATGATATAGGGAAAGCACTGTGGGTATATTTCTTTCCATTTTCAGTACTTTTTTCTTTTAAATCAGTCTTCTGTCTTATTTATCTTTTCAAATAATTTTTTAAAATTTTATTCTCAGTTCATCTTCTGTCTGTTTTATTTTCCTTATCATTGATTTCTCTCATTATCTTTATATTTTTCACCCTTCTCATTTCTTTTTTCTTTACATTGGGATTCTTTCTTCAATTTATCAAATTGAATGCTTTGCTTATTTGCACGTGATCATTTTTCCCTTGATAAATGAATTTACAGTCCTAAATCATTCTATAAATACCACGTTAGCAGTGTCTTGAAAACTCTGATAAGGAGTATTTTCAGTTCTAAGAATTGAAAGTTTCTCTTTTGATTTCTTTTTATGTAGTGAGTCATTTAGCACTGTCAACAGGATGTCAAAATGGAACCCTTCCTATCTCCCAAGTTGACTGGGGCTTTAAAGCTGAAAGCAACAGATGCCGATCATATCGAGATTATTAAAATAAGTGTTCAGGGCCTTTTCAGTTACTGATTTATCAATATTCTTACTGGCAAGGTAAATTGTGCAACATCGAGTGAGCTGAGACTGCATATATATTCTGCAACACAGGAGGACACATGTCCCAGAATGTTTGCTGCATTTTTAAAAATAATAGAATATTAGAAATCAATATCAAAATGGAGAAATAATTTATGGCATATATATGATGCAATACTCTATACCAAAAATTTTTTTTAATCTGCATATATCAATATGAAGGACTTTCAACAATATAATGTTGAGGGAAATGGCAAGTTCCAAAATACATGCATTATATAACACAGGTAATGAAAAATAAACACAAGTTGAGATTCCCTTATTCAAAATGCTTGGGACCAGAATTGTCTCAGATTTTTTATTTTCTTATAAAATCCAAAATGTTCCAATAAGCATTTCCCTTGAGCATTATGTCAGCACTCTAAAAGTTGCGGATTTTGAAGCATTTCGGATTACAGATTTTCCAACTAGAGAGACTCCAACTTGTACAATACAAAACAAAACCATGAAACAATTGTCAATATTTTTTACACTACTCTGCTGTTTATGGCTTGAAAGAAAGACCTAATGCAAATATAGAAAAACAATGATGTAATAAATCAGGGTGGTTGGTACATGATTGCCTTCTATATAATTTATATATTTATTTGGATTAGAACATAGTTAATATATATTTCATATTTTTTAAACTGAGGTTTACCACCATTATATTTTGTTTCAATCTCTTCTTTTAAAGAAAAAAAATGCTTTAAAATTAATTCTCAGCCATATTTGCTTTTGGGTAAGTTTGCAGTTGTATATTTAATGCGCATGCATAGTATCCCTATATTGTAGGATTTTTCACCTTACAGATATAAAAAAAGAAATAGAAACCAAAGAAAACCTCTGCGGCTCTGGTACACCGACTTTTAAGGTCCCTTTGAGAAGACACTGTAGGACAATGGAAAAAGCATGGAGTCAGAAGTCAAGCCGACCTCAGATCAAACCACATGTGCCATGTGAAATGACCTAAGGCAAATATTTTACCCGCTTAGGACCCTCCATTGACTTATCTGTTAAGGAACTGCTAAATTTAAAAATTGCTGAAAGAAGATAATTTAATTATGATACAAAGCAAGTGGGAAGTATTCCATCAAGAGTAGTTATTACTAACATAATCAGATATTTCCATAACTGTAATTATAACTATTTCTATCAGAGATGGTGTCTGAAGGAAACAAAAAGATATTGTAAGAAATCAATGGACATAAAACTTCTAAAAGTTAAAGAATTAATTAAAAAATTGAGGTTAGGCATCTAGTTTTGTTTTATTTTTAAGTGATTTAACACAACACTTTTATTATGCTTGTGTCTTCTGTGAAACAGGAATTCAGGCTGAGCCTTGTGCTGATGACTTGTCTTTTGTTCCACAATGTCCAGAGATTCAACTGGAAAAGCTGAAAGACTAGGAGTGAATCTTTGAATGCCACTTTGCTTGTTTTCAAAGTAATTTTGCAGGATTTTTTAAAAGGGTCTACTACTCTAGGGCATTATAAAACTAAAGTAGTCTAAATGACTGTGAAAACTTATAGCTGTCAATTGAAGATCAACCAAAGATTAAGAGAAATCCAAGCAAACAAACAAAAAGAGTTGATTTTGACATCTAGTTTTAAGAACCTAGCTATTATTTAAAGTGGTAAATTTATTTGTGATTCTTGGGAAGAATATTTACTATCTTATATATAATTATTTTATCATGATATGTACATCAGTATGTTATATACAGAAAAATCAGGACCTAGAAAACTAGAGTGAGCTCATATTCTGCCTTGTGGAAACAGACTATATACAAGTACAAATAATATACTCATCTGGTTTGCCTAGGCTTAATATCTATTTCTGTAGCTAATTAAAACTCTAATTTTCCAATAAGTCTGCCCACAGATAAGTGGCCACATTTTTAGCCATTCATGGGTGGCTGACTCACCCTGGTTTGCAAGCCTCAATTCTGTAAAAAAAAGGAAATGGAAAAACACCCTGAATTGTAAGCAATCAAAATGCCATCAGAAAGTAACAACACAGTTTAATTAAAAAGAAAAATCCATAGTAATTCATTTTTGTTCCTTTCCCCTCTTCACACAAGAAAGTAAGAGGTAATACAGAGAAGCAATTAAAATGAAGTCTCCTTTTGCCCTCGGGGTGTGTGCTTCGAACCTTCACCAATGAAATAATTAGCTCCAAATTTCTCATTTTTTTCCCTCCTTTGTAATATTGAAATTGCTTCTGGTCTTTCTTCAGAAGCAAAGCACTTCCTTGCCTCTTTGGTTAACCCTAGGCTTCTAAGAATCTTAGTAATCTTGTTATTCTATCAAAAGGCTGACTGTGTGGTTACAAGGCCATTGTCGCTATTTGATTTAGACCCCAGGTAAACTGGAAACCAGCCTAATTTCATGAACATAACCTCTAAGATGGAGTGAGTGGCCTGAAATTAAAGAGTAGGTACGCAAGAGTGCATCTGCCACCAGGGGAGATGATAGGAAGGTGGATTCACTGAGCACAAAGGTACCAACACTGCTGTGGAACTTCAGCATGCATCCTACTCTCTCACCATGACCAGATCTCAGAAGAAAGCATAGCGTTCTGATCTACAAACAAATGCTGTACTGCTCACCCACAGAGACTGCAACCACCACATGGACAGCACTCAGATTTAGCCTATAAAGCCATGTGGCAATATTGGGTAGAGCACACATGCACAGGCTCAGGACAAATGAAACAGCAAAATAAAGTGTTCACAAATAAAAAACCACACATCGCTTTCAAACTACTCATGATCACTCTCAAGCATGTCTTTATGATGTGGCAAACAGGGACATCTGATAAATGCTAGGCTCCAGTAAAGAAGACACTGGTGAGGTTTAATGTAGAGGTCCACATGCGAGGAGCTCAAGGTGGCTCAGGGGCAAGAGAAATGGGAGGTGGAGCTCCACAAAGAGTTTGGGGTAGATAAAAGTAAGCAAGGTGCATGGAATGTCAAACACAAAGTAGCACCTTTGTGAGACAGCCTGCGCGCCATTGAAAAGACAATCCTGCCTGTTGGTGCACAGCCCACAGTCCAATCTCTCCCAGCAATCACAGTAGCACAGAGGAAAAGAACAGCAAGAGAACTCTTACTGTAGCACGCGGGAGTGGCTGAGATCTTTCAGATCTGAGTCCTCATAATAGGGAGCTATCATCCCCAGCCCGCTGTCACTCAGCATGCGTTTCCGCAGGGCAGGATTCCACCAGTCTGAGATCCTGAGAGACAGAAGGGCACCAGACAGTTAAACATTCAAAGTCAGCCACGTGACTTAGTCTTCACTTTCTGAAGATGAATCTTGCCTGTAAATGTGAGAAGCAAAATTCATCTTTATGGAGTATTTACCAGATACTACACATTTATTATTTAATTCATTTATCTCAACAATCATGAACTATTTGTATGATTCTGTCCCCTTTACAAATGAGAAAACTGAATTTCAAGATTAGGTCATTTCAAATGTGACATGAAAAAGAAGCAATAGACCTAGTGTAGAAATGCAGATTAGAAAATAACAAAGTCCATCCTGTTTCACTGCTTCCCTGTTCCTGGTTTATTCAGGGGAGGCAACTGGTAAGAAATAAGAAAGGCACTGATTCAAGTCCTGATGGATTTTCAGGCTACTTTAATTTTTAAAGTTACAGCTAACAGATGTCTAGCCAGGCCTAAAGCAATTCCTTTTGGCTATTATTTGACATAAAGAAAATGACTGAGTGAGCAAAAGCCAGGGCAACTTGGAAGAATGAATTTTCTCCTTACCATACCAAGAGACAGCCCGGATCAGGTGCGGTAGGAGGACACCTAGACTCCAGCACCTGCTGCTTCTGCAGTAGGACAAAACATTATACCTCCTTTCCCCACAACTGATGGGTCTGGTGCATGGATGTGCCCTGCAAAGGTGGCTTTCCCCACCACCTTTGAGGCTCCCAGCAGTGCATGAGGCTACCCCTCGTGCCTGTCGGCCTTCCCCTCATGCTCTGACATCATGGCTCTGGCTTCTTGAGAACAACTTTCTATCTGTTCCATACAGCCACTTGTGCCCTCTTGTATCCCCCTAGACTTGGTACATATTGGACATCAGCTGGCCCTGGAAGAGTGGGAAACCACTCATAAATAGCAGCACTCATAAATAGAACCAAAAAAAGTGAAAAAAGAGTAAATCAAGTGACAAAGGGAAAACAGGGATGAAGATTACATTGCAGTTTGCTTACCTAGTGGTCTGTTCATTCATACTGTATGAGTATGTGTGGATGATGCGCATTTACTATTTGGGTACATTGTGTATGGTTTCTATAGCAATTCTTATTTCAACAATTCAGGCCCCAAAACACTAACTTTCACAAGGGCAAAGATTTTATCTGTTTTTACTTTTGCACTGTTACACCCCAAGTGCTTACACTGGGACCTGGCACAAAAAAATTCACTAAATAAATAGTTCCGAATTATTGAAATCACTTAGAACTCCTAATTATGTTTTGTGGTGCAAGGTGGTAGTTAAATGTGTGGGCTCTGGCATCAGGTAACCAAGGACTGAATCTCATTTTTTCTACTTATTTTCTATGAAATGCTGGGCAAGTAAAATAACCCCTTTAGGTCTCAATCTTTTAATCTATGAATTAAAGATAATTGTACCAAATGTTCAAGGTCACTGTGGAATTATGATGATGATTATTTTAATAACACTCTATTTAATGAGTGTTTTTAAAATGTCAGGAATGACTTCAAGTGCTTTACCTGTATCAATTCTTTTAATCACCAAACAGTTCTCTGAGTGAGGATTACTATTATTTGTATTTTCCAGATGAGAAAATAAGCACAGAGCACTTACGATGATTAAGTCGCTATGAAGTGGTGGTACAAATAGAAGAGAGGCACAGGACATAGGTCCTAAAAAGCGTTTGGTATGTCATAGTTATTGTTATATAATCTACATGTCTCCAGCAGCCTGGAAATCGCAAAGAAGACGACGAGGAGGAAGAGGAGAAAAACTGTCAAATCATCTGTGTCTATTTTTTATGTGGGTAACAGAGTTACTACAAACATATAAGCACAAACACAAGTACCAGTATTTTCCAGATTTGCTAAGAAGTGTTGCTGTGATGGGTAAAGAAGGCTTGGACATGATGCAAATCTGGTTTTGTGTTTCTACACAGCCATTCATCAGACAGACTTATAAAATAACCACTCTAAGGAAACACAACAAGAAGATCTTTATGTTTGATGTCATCAGAATAACGGCAAGTTCAAAGGCAAACTAGACACGATGTCACCCTGAGGCCAGCCTCACAGGCAAGGAGAAGCACACTTACCCCGAGGCCTGCTCCACCACCAGGTCAGGCATGCCCGGAGGTGTCCCCGCTGGCTGTGACACCACCATATCTGGATCCAGAATAAAAATCTCATCTTGGGAAATCTCCATCACAAAGTGCAAATGTTCCTAAGGAAGAACAAGAAGTCTGTTGCATGAAGAATAACAAAACAAGGATTCTCGGTCTCCAGGAATAATGAAATTCTTCAGCGTGTCAAAGGATCACAGTGTGTTCCCAGAAGCTTCATTGGTTGGCATTCCTCCCCAGGGCTGTGCTATGGCAGGCAGTGGGAGACAGGGAGAGATGAATCCCCTTGATTTCCAATTAACCAGGATTTTTTTTGAAAACAGAGTCTCATTCTGTCACCCAGGCAGGAGTGCAGTGGCATGATCTTGGTTCACTGCAACCTCCGCCTCCTGGGTTCAAGTAAATCTCCTGCCTCAACTTCCAGAGCAGCTAGAACTACAGGCACCTGCCACCATGCCCAGCTAATTTTTGTATTTTTTAGTAGAGACAGGATTTCACCATGTTAGCCAGGATGGTCTTGATCTTCTGACCTCATGATCCATCTGCCTCAGCCTCCCAAAGTGCAGGGATTACTGGCATGAGCCACTGCACCCAGCCCAATTATTTTAGGTATATCTAGAAATGGTCTTGACTCATCTTATTCTCAAATACTATGAAGTGACACCCACATGCCATGTGGTCCAGCAGGAGTGTATGATAGCCTGGACTTCCACCCCATGACCTGGTCAAAGCTAAGCAGCATGGTTAAAAACTGGCTTTATTATTGGATTCAATACTGTACATTATTTTTCTAGGAGAATTCAGATAATGGGAGGACTTGTGACCTTGAATAAGCCTTTTTTTTTTTTTTTTCTCATCACTGACCTGCAGGGCTTGGCAAACTGAAACTAAGTAGCCTAGATATACACTTGGGGCCTCAAACTTGCTAAACAGAAATGAGCTTAAAAAGACATAAAATTTCGCTAAGAAGGAGTAAAACTATCTGTGTGAATGAACATCTGGAGTACAGGCTGGTGATAATGCCTACAAGTCAACTTATTTTCTGTACTCATTTGCAAGATCAAGCTATATCATCTTGAGTCCATAAATCATAAAACACATGAAGATAAATAAAAGGTTCATGGCTTAGGTTGTGAACCCCACTCCAAAATTTGTAAATGTCTCAGTGTTTTTCATTAGAAAAATTTCTGAGATTAGCTACCAATGAAGTATATGAACTTGGGAATTTTTCACTTTCACAAGCAGGCTGGAAGAAAACTTACCTGAGATCTGTCTATTCGATAAAAGCGATCAGCAGAAGTTGCTAGGGAAAAAAATACATAGGGCATTCAGAACGTTCAGTAATCTAGCACCAAATTTATAACCTCCTCTTTGACTCTGCCAGTCAAAACCCCCACACAGCAGTCATGCTAATCTCCTGGCCAGTCCCTAAATCTATTAGGAAAACCTCAGCACTTTCATACCTCTGCCACTGCTATTCTAAGGCTTAGAAAGCCCTTTCCATTGCCTCTGCCATAGAAATTGTACTTGTCTTTAAAGAACCAGTTCAAGTACTTGTGCCCCTGTGAAACCTTTCTCAGTCCCAACCTCCCTACCCTAGCCAGAATGTATTACACCTGCCTCCAGGCACATTTACATTTTTAAAAATTTCTTATACAGACTATCTTCACAGATAACTATGAGACTACAGACCTGTCTAATTTCTTTTTTCTTTTCTTTTTTTTTTTTTTTTGAGACGGAGTCTCACTCTCTCACCTAGGCTGGAGTGCAGTGGCATGATCTCATCTCACTGCAACCTCTGCCTCCCGGGTTCAAGGGATTCTCCTGACTCAGTCTCCTGAATAGCTGAGACTACAGGCATACACCACCGCACCAGCTAATTTTTGCATTTTTAGTAGAGATGGGGTTTCACCATGTTGGTCAGGCTGGTCTGAAACTCCTGACTTTGTGACCCAACTGCCTTGGCCTCCCAAAGTACTGGGATTACAGCCATGAGCCACCACACCCGGACAGACCTGCCTCTTTAAAAATCTGTTTCATTTAATCTTTTATGCCTCCTGAAATTAGCACAGGATCATAAAGAAAGGTAGCACTTGGTATGTTTTTATTAAGTAAATAAAGCTAGAAAACGCTATTGTTATGTAGACTTCTAAGGGAAGTGATTTCCCATTTTGGAAAACAGCTTGAAGATTTAGGCCAGGGACTGTATGTGGTCTTAAATGAATCATTTCACTTTTGACCTGCATCCTTAGCATCATGTCTGAAGGACGCCAAAACAGAAAAAAAAAAAAATATATTTAAGCATTATCAAAAGAGATTGAGCTGCATCTATGGTGTGAGGGAAAAAAATGTAAACTACAAATTTTGGGTTTCTAGAAATTATTTTGAATATTCTTAATATTAGAATTATTGGCTACAATTTGGGAAGCTCAGGTGACAGAATTGTTTGACGCTAGGAGTCAGATCAGCCTAGGCAACAAAGTAACACTTCATATCTACAAAAAACAATTTTTGTAGTTAGCTGGGGATAGTGGCATGCCCCTGTGGTCCCAGCTACTTGGGAAGCTGAGGTGGGAGGATCGCCTGAGGCCAGGAAGTTCAAGGCTGCAGTGAGCCGTGATCATGCCACTGCACTCCAGCCAACGTGACAGAGTCAGACTCCTGTCTCAAAAAAAAAAAAAGAAAAGAAAAGAAAAAGAAAAGCAAACCAAAACAATTATGTGCTTCTCGCTTAAATCTATCTTGCAAAGCCCAGATATCACAAATAGATTTTCTACAAAACAAATATAGCAGAAGAAAGAAAAACTCAAAAAGCAAGTAATTATTTAGAATTCACAAACATGTAATGAGTAGCTTCTCTCCAAAAGAAACTGAACTAAGAAATCAGCCAATTATGGTCCCTGCTCTCTAAAATCTAAGAATAGAATAAAATCTGCCTTGGAGAAATTCACTCTACTTTGTTCCCTTAAACCGTGACTGCAATTACCTTTTAAAAGTTTTTAAAATAAAACTATGGAATAAAACTACTAACTGGTTTAAGACTGTTACCCACAATAGTTGTAATTTTATCTAAGACTTTAGATAGAACATAATTTTCTGAAATATAAGTTGTTCCTCTGCAAATTCAGAAATGACAAATGATTTTGTTTCTCACTGCTATGGAATCAAGAAGCTGGAGGAAAGTTCTCGGAGACAGCTAATAAGACATTAACAAAAACTTGCATTATGATTTATATGAAATAGATCTCATATAGATAGAAGTGCCCAACTTCATAACACTAGAAGAATATGCATATGGCATTCAAAATGTTCTGTGATCTAGCACCAATGTTAGACCCTTCTCTTCGGCTGCCAGTTAAACCCTGACATTCCAGTCATGCTAGAATACTGGACGGTCCTTAAATCTTAATAGATCTCTGTTGCTGCCATCCCAGTGCTTGTTCATATACTCACACATCCTGTCATACTCTTATTCACATTTACATCCTCCCAGATGTTCACACAGGTAAAAAAAAAAAAAAAAAGGAAAGGGTATCTACAATGAACATGTCTCCATCTCAGTGAGAGAGAACAGGTAGCAGATACATTTAGTAGTATGTAAGCATGAATATACAGAGGTGAGAAGATACTGCAATATAGGTAATTGGAGAGAAAGGCAGTATTACTCAGCATCTAAGAGAGAGATGTTTGAGATAAAAAGGACTCATTAAACAATCATAAAATAACTAACCTATTATGCATGGATATGTTATGCTGAGCCATGCAGATTTGAATGCAACTGAATTTTTCTACCCTTCTCCCCAGAAATGTATACATCTCACTGAAATAACGGTCTCATAAAAATAATATGAATGTTCCATAAGATGCAAACAACATAGAGATTAGTACCCATCCTATGCTTGTAGAATCCAGCTACTGCTCTGAATTAATTTAAGGCAGGCATTCAAGTTTTAAGAAAAGAGGGCTGATGAAAGGGAAACATCAGCCTGAGCAACTGGATGCTGAGTTCAGCCAGAGTTAACCAAGCTGCCTCGAGGGAAATGACTTCAGGAAAGGACAGTGCAACATCAGCAGGCCTATGTCGTTCAGCCCGAAAATACCAACCATGTGGAGGACTTCACATGAAGGCTTTCTGAATAATCTTTTGGACAACTAGAGTCCACCCTATCAATTGACACCTTGCTCTTCAACTTCCCCACCTCCCACAATACCCCCAAGAAATGCAGAACTCACCATCTAGGAAGCACCACCGAGGGGAAAGCCTCTGTGCTGAGAGAGCCCTGGGGAAGGAGGTTTCATGGTCCTGGAAAGAGACACACACGTTCTAGTGGCCACTTCAATAACCTGACAGGCTTCCCTCCCTCGGCATTCTGCCATCCCTTCCTACATAAAGCACTGGTGAGAAGACCACATCACATTTTTTTTCTCTAGAAACAGAAAGAAGGGCTCTGCTTTGAAAGTCTTTCACACAGAACTTTTAAAAATAACTCCCCCACAAAATTACCAGGAGGTTGTCAATGATCCCATTCAACATTTTCAATTATTCCATTCAACAAAAATAATCTAATTTGGGACATCTACTTCCTCATGGGAATTTCTTTCTTTCCCTTTGGGAAGCCAAGGAACTCGTGACAGCTGGCTGTCATTGACACACAGTTCTAAGGCACTGGCACAGAATGGGAACAAATTAAAGGTTATCTACTGGCCACATGGGACTTACAGTATGTGAGGAAAAGAAGCAGCCATCCATACCCAGGGGCTGTTCATCTACATGGAAACAAAGAAAATCAACCTCACATGTGGAGGTCATCCTAACCTCAGCCTTCTTTACTGAACCCAATTACAGAGGAGTAGACAAGGAAGGAAAGTAGCAGCAGGGGGACCCATGGTAAAATTACTCTGCCCAGCACTCACCCAGAGTACTCATCTACCTGAGCATCTTCATGACCTCCCAACTACCCCTCTCCTATTTAACCTCAAGGCCACCTGAAATAATTGCCATCGTTCTTTCCTCTGGGCTTAGATAAAAATATTTACCTTCTCTCCAAAGCCAACCACTTGATTTAGTCTCTAAACTATATTTCTTTCTCCTTTCAAACTTTATTTCTGTAGCATTATTCAAATCCACCCATCAATTCTTCTGCTCTCCATAGTTTCCTCTCTTCCAAAACCAGTTCCCCTCAGCTGATCTTGTTACATCCCTTTTTAAATTTAAATTTTATTTATATTTATTTTTTGAGACAGGGTCTCACACTCTGTCTTCCAGGCTGGAGTACAGCGGTGTGATCATGGTTCACCATAGCCTCCACCTCCTGGGCTCAGATGATCCTTCAGCCTCAGCCTCCTGAGAAGCTGAAACTGAAGTTGTAATGTCTTGATAATCTTCCTAAACTCTCTTGCCCTTCCAAACTCCTGAAGTTTATATTATTATCTCCTGCCTCCAAGTCTCACTTACACATCTCAGATGTATCCTCTAGAAGCCTGGTCTCTGACCACTCAGTCCTCCAAAGCTGTCCTTCCAAGAGATTGCCAGGACTGGCTTGCTTCTCTGATTTACTACAATTCTCAGCAAACTTCCTTGGAGTCTCAGAAGCTTTTATTTCTTATAAAGAATTAAGACTACATCCTCGGAACAAATCAGAGAACTGGCAGATTGAAAATTGAAAGGATTATCTCTTTAGGATTCCAAACTTCTAAAAATTAAACATTTTCTCTACTAAGAGAAGCCTGCCAATGATAACTGGGGAGGAAGAAAAGCACCTCCTAGTTTACAACATGTGATTTGGAGCCTTCTAGCCCTGGTTTGCAGTGGAATTGAAATCACTGACAGAAATGGGACAAATGAGGGAGGTCGGATTTCTGTGAGGAAGACACTGGGAGTCTGGCCCTTATTAGGGATTTGAAATGTTCAAAGGTAGGGAGCAGCACTGGAGTGCAGCTGTGCTGGCAGCGATAAAGACTTGGCAGCTGACGCCACAGGTGTGGATGATCTTGTGGGTACAGAGGGGACAGGAGAAGAAAACAGGAATAACATAGAATACGTGATAAGGAGCCAATCAGAGGTTGTACTGACTTTCTTGGGAGTGAATCAACACTCTCTGCTGCCCTACTTGATCCTCAAACAAAGCCTGGGATTAAATCACTTGTTCTCAAAATGTGCATCAGATGGAAACTGGTCGGAAACACAAATTCCTACACGTGTATACATATATACCTATGTAACAAACCTGCACGTTCTGCACATGTACCACAGAACTTAAAGTATAATAAAACACACACACGCACACTCCCAGGTCCCATCCCAGGTCCCATCCCAGGTCTACAGAAGAACTAGGGGTGGAACACAGCAATGTGTTTTAACAAGCCTTTCAGATCAGTCTGTGTGTATATGTATAGGATACATACAGAGGCTGTATATGAAAGAACCTAAAGTAACAAAACAAAAGTGATTCATCTTAGTAAACTAGAAACCTTGAGTATATGAAGTTTTACTCTAAATGAATGCTGTGAAATAAATGAGAGAGGAAAGATTGGTCTCATTCAGGAATGCAATCAAAATCTGTATTTGTGAATATAATATATATCATTTATATTTTTGAATATATCCATATAGATATGGATACAGAGATACTATATAATATGTAGAGAAATACATATATATATTACGTATAGTCTCTCTCACACACTCACACGCTCTCTCTCTATATATATATATATTCTACTTTTTTGAATTGTCTTTTTCATCCTGATGGTTGAGCTAAATGAAATCTTGACATGTGCTTAGTACCTATTTATATGAGAATTATGTGTAACATTTTGAGAATTATATTTTGACACGTGATATCTTGTTTTAAAGGATCTTAAGGTACTTAATGCATTTTTGTAAAACAGATAAAGCTACTGACATCTCTCAGTTGAGTGAGAAATGTAATTATAGACCAAGAAATTTGGAAGCGATTCAAAATATTTAGTGGCAACTATGAAAGCTAATAAATAAAGAGATTAAACAGCAACAGGATTATCTTCACTATGAATAAAGGGGCTTAAACATCAAGGACATTTTCTGCATTTTGATATTGAATATGCTGTAGAGGACCCTATAAAAACAGATCCTAATTTCCTTTGGCAAAAATCAATGGAAAGAATACAGAAATGCTTGATTTATCATTTTAAAAACCTAAGGATCCATCACACTATCTCTAGGCTGTTCAAATTACAGAAAACTGGATGTTATTTAGTCTAGTGTAGTAAAATTCAGATCGAGGCACTACTTCAGCAGCATGAGTACCACGGGTTGGTAAGGAAATACTGAGAGTGTATCTTTTTATGTGCAGGTGGCTGTGTGTCTGGAGAGTTTTATGCCCATGGCTGCCTTTATTAACGTAGTTCGCTTTTGTTCACTTATTTACTCTACATTTTGATCCATGGATGGAAACTGTTAAAATGTTTGATCCACAGAAACATTTGATCTAACTTAATGTTCTTAAAGAGATAACATTATAATTTTGTTTGGTGAAAACACATTGGCCATCATGAAGCTCTTTAAAATAATGGGTCCTCAAATAGGTTCAACAATTCTCAAACCCTCCAAAATTGTATGCTAGATTTGGTGTGTCTATGTGTGTCTGTATTTTCCTGGACAGAGAAACCACTGATTTCTAGATTATCAAAGTGATCTGAGATTCCCAACATGCTAAAAGGTTATTAATTTAAAGAATCAAAAATTTAGGTCAGAGAGAATTCAACAAAATAAGAAGATTCTGATCAGTAAAATGTCTTATGAGAATAGGAATCACTGATTCAAAGTTACTGGTAATTGTAATACAAACACAACAAACAACAAAGGCTCTCCGAGCTTGTGCTGCCCTCCTAGCAGTGGACTGAAACTAGGTCCATTTCTACATGAAAGGACTCAACTTTTTGCTTGTTTCCATCCATGGTGTCTCCCAAGTGCTTGTTTTCAGTGTCATAAGTTCTTCTATTTATGTTCATTTTTATAAACAGACAAAGGAAAAATGTATTTATATTTACCACTGGCTGTTTTTAATAATTGAAGTTAAACAATACATCATTAATTAAAGGCACAGGAATCTAATCTTAAAAGACAATGTTATTTAAAATAATTGGATACTTTTCTGGTGACCTGAAGATTAAACTGAGATTTTGGGAGGTGTTAGAAAAGCAAAAGTAGAGCTTTAACTTCTCTGAAATGCATCCCTGAAATAGATTTGCATCCTCTTCCAACTTTTTTGAAGCTCTTTCCACCTTGTTCATTTAAAAAGAGGGAGTTCTTAAAGGAACAGCTAGTCACATAATGAGGTCCTCTGTTAAGTCATCTGAATTCCAAATAAAAACTGTAATATCTGAGTAGATTCAGAATGCAATTAAGCCACTTATTTAAAAATTCTACATACATAAAATGTACAAAAGCATCAAGTCTTGAAAAAATGTTGCCCTTGAATCTCATTGATATATACATCTGTGCAGATGAAAATGCCTCACCTACACTGGGACACTAAGAATTGGAGATATTTTTGAAGTCAGTGTTAAAATGATGTTCCAATGTGGCAGATTGACAATATGCAAAATGTACTCACAAAACATGCCAGCAATCTGTAAAATAAGAAACAAGAAAATCCAGGTATGAAGCATAAATGGGTGCTGAAAATACATCGCAAAGATCCGAGGGAAAATGGAGGTGAAGAGCAGGCTAGGGACAGAAGTTGGTGGTGGCCGAGGTGGTGGTGGTGGATGTTGGATTTCACTTGAGTTGAAAACAGAGCAAAAAGATAGTGAGAAAGTCTGCTTCGCAAAACCGAAATTTTTGTAGGATGTGATCATCATTATCACAGACAAGCTAAGAATTGAGATGCCAAAAAATGTTCCCGTCCTTGAGGTGTTAAAATATTGTAGGGAGACAGACCTGATGAATGGGAAGGAAAAACCAGGCGAGAGATTGTATGTGATCCAGCCCCAATTAAGCAGCCAGCCCAGAGGCGGCAGAAGGCTGATGGGAAGCATACCAGCTTTGAGAGGCACGACAATCCTGGCCCTACCCGCTACTCGCTGTGGCTGTGAGAGTTTAGGAAAGTTTTTTATCCAGTTCCTTGAATTCCTCATTTTAAAATGGCTACAATAATATCTACCATAAAGGGTTCTTTTGAGGAACAAATGACACATAAAATGCTTAACCCATTGGCTGAAACATGTTGATGTAGATATAATTATCCAAGAGATAATTATGTCTCATGCTAGGCAGCTGAAACATTATTTTACCTAAAACAATTCTGCCCTTAGTCACAT